CGAGCAGCAGCGTGGTGGGAAGCTGAAGCCGAAGGCCTGGTGGGGCCTTCACCTCGGCGTGTCGGCGGAAAGCAAGGGCTGGGAGCTCCTCGACATCGACGCCAACCGGGTGGTCACCACGTCGGACGTGGTGTTTTACGAGGATCTGTCACTGGAGGTGTGGAAGTCGGAGCACGGGACGGCGTCACGTCGGACGCCGACCACCCAGCCGTCCGACTTCTTGACGGCGACGTTGCCTCTACTCGCTGAGGTCGGTGAGCTTGCTGGTGAGGACGTCGAGGTCGTCCATCCTCCTTCCCCTCCCCCTACGACCCCTGCCCCTCCCCTCGTGGCCGACCTGCACGGGCTGACTCCTATGTCGGCCTCCGGCGATGAGGGGAGTAGTGGGACGTCGCCTTCGGCGCCGGCCAAGGGCATCGCCGGTGGCCGACGTGTCGAGCGGCAAGTCGACGTGGGAGTGCAGGTCGAGGAGGAGCAGGTCGAGGAGGAGCAGCCGACTTGGGTGAAGCCGACGAAGAAGACACCAGTAGGGCAGCAGCCGACAGGGGAGCAGGCAGCGGTGACGCCGACCATGGAGCAGTCAGCAACCAGGCAGTCGGCAGAGGAGCCGACTACAAGGGAGATGTCGACCAGGAAGTCGACCGAGGTGCAGCAGGACGACGAGGGCGGCGAAGCCGGTGACGAAGGGGAGAAGTCCACCGACAGCGACGTGGTGGAGGTTCGGCCTAAACCCCGAAAGTCAGGCCAACTTCGGAGGCCGCCCGACTTCTTCGTCCCCGCTGCCTTCACCACGGTGTACGACGTGGACGACGACGACCTGGCGTATGACGACGCCGAGAAGGATGAGGAGTTTCCGGAGCTCGACCCCGACATGCATGCCGACCCCGAGCACCGTTGGGACATCTCGACAATGACGGTGAAGGAGGCGTTGGCAAGCTGGAAGGGCCCGGCGGTGAAGGCCGCCATGGAGGAGGAGATCCGCAGCCTCATCAACATGGGAACGTGGGAGCTGGTCGAACGCCCGGCGGGAGTGAACATCATGAAGAACCGGTGGGTGCTGACGACGAAGTACCACATCGACGACACCGTCGAGCGTGAAAAGGCAAGGCTGGTCGTGAAGGGCTTCACGCAGGTGTACGGCGCCGACTACGACGAGACGTTTGCGCCAGTGGGTAGCTACGTTCACGCTGCGGATCTTCCTCAGTATCGTCGCCGTCCTCAACCTCAACCTGATGCAGCTCGACATGAAGAACGCCTTCCTGCAAAGCAAGCTCGACTGGGTGCTCTACATGTCCCAGCCGGACTACTTCAACGACGGAACCGGCCGGGTGTGCAAGCTGCTGAAGAGCCTGTACGGCCTGAAGCAGTCGTCGCTGTTGTGGTACTTGGCGCTCAACAACGTGCTGGTCGGCGCCGGGTGGAAGAAGAGCCAGGTCGACGAGGCCCTGTACTTCAAGGTCGGCGACGACGGAGTGGCCTGCTGGGTGCTGGTCTACGTCGATGACCTGCTCGCCGCCAGCAGCAGCGCCGCGATGATGAAAGAGCTGAAGGCGCTGCTGGAAGCCGCCTTCGAGCTGCGCGAGATCTCGCTGGTACGGAAGTACCTCGGGCTGGAGATCGTCCGCGACAGGTCGGCAGAGAAGTTGTGGCTGCACCAGCAGGGCTACGCCGACAAGCTGCGTAGGTGCCTCATCAACGAGGAGCAGACCGGGCGCACCCCGAAGACGCCGGACTCGGTCGACGCCTACGCCGAGCTCACCTTCGATGACGAAGAGGCGAAGGAACGCCAGGAAGAGGAGTACCAGCAGAAGGTCGGCTCGCTGCAGTTCGCGGCGACGACGACGAGGCCGGACATCGCCTTCGCCTGCAGCAAGTTGGGGAGCCGCCTCACGGTGAGGAGTGACCAGCACTGGCGCGAGGTCGACCACTGCCTCGCCTACCTCGCCAACACACGTGACACCGCCCTGGAGTTCGGCGGTGGACCTGCGTCGCTGGAGCTGGTCGGCTATGTGGACGCCGACGACGCCGGTGACAAGCAGAACAGGACGAGCACGGGTGGCTACGTGTTCGTCTACGGAGGGGCCGCAGTCTCCTGGTCGAGCCAGCGCATCAAGTGCGCGACGTTGTCGTCGACCGAGTCGGAGTACGTGGCAGCCACCGAAGCCGGCAAGGAGGGACGCCGACTTCTCTTCCTCCTTGCAGAGTTCCGGCAGCTGGATGCTGGGAAGCCGACCATCCTTCAGGTGGACAACAAGTCGGCCATCACGGTCGCCGAGGGCATGGGGTTGACGGGCAACCTCAAGCACATGGAGCGGCGACAGGCCTGGCTGCGGGAAGTTCTCGCTGAGGTACATCCCAACCACCGAGCAGCCGGCCGACTTCCTGACGAAGGCACTGCACTATCCGGCTTTCAACCGGTGCTCCGTCGCCATCGGCCAGGTGCGCTTGGCTGACGTGGGCGACGAAGGTGACGATGTGCAGCAGTAGGTGCCATGCCCTTTTGCATGGCTGGTGCGGTGGACGACGTGCTGTGTGTTGGGTGCACGTCGACGAGCTATTCTCCGAGCAGTGATGCCGTGTGGGCTGGGGGCCCAAGCGTGAACGCGGCAGGGGAGTGTCAACGCGAGTTGTTGTTGGCCCCGTCCTCGCTTGGGCGGAGCCGACTTCGTGGTCGGGTGTACGAGAGGTACAGTCGACTTGCAGCAGTGGGCGACGCCGACTTGGGCGAGCGGGTCGACGGGGTTGGTCGACTTGCACGGGGCCACTGCAATGCCTCCGACTTGGGAAGCTGGCGGCCGACTTGCAAGGTCACCGACTTGCAAGGTCACCGACTTGCAAGGTCACCGACTTGCAACGTCGCCGACTTCTGGTAGCCGACTTGGGTGGTCGGCTGACGACTGTGCTGGTCGACGTAGAGCTGGTCGACCAGGAGTGACGTCGACCTGGAGCTGGTCGACCAGGGGTGTGGTCGACCTGGTGAGGTCGAATGGAGGTGGCCGTCGACTTGGGAGGTCGACGGGCACATACAGGAGCACCTGGTCGACGTGGTTGCCCGGTCGACCAGGTTACCTAGATGACGAGGTTCCGCGGAGGAGTGCGACGGTCGCCCAGGCAAAGTTGGCGAGTCCGACCTCGGCGGTGGTATCCCGAGGTTGACATGGCGGATCAGGTGGAGTCATCAGCACGAGGATGACTTGGTGTGTGCGTTGTGCAGGTGACGAGGCTCAGCCCGCCAATCCTCTGCGAGCACCTGCGAAGCGGGTGCGCTGCTGTTCTGTGGGAGCAATGCTGGCACGCCGTCAACCTGCGACGTTGGTACGCCGTCGACCTTGCACTGCTGGAGCGCGGTCGACCAAGTCGTGCTGGAACGCGGTCGACCATGCTGCGCTGGCAGTCGACCGACCTGAATGCTAGCTCTGATGTAGTCTTGCCATGCCAACTTCATTGTTACCATTGTTGTGAGCTTTTGCTAGTGGAACTCTTGCCAAATTCCCCCGTGAACCAGCAAATAGTGCAAGCACGAGTAAACGACTAAGGAACGAATGAACGCAGAGATCACACGAGCACCCGTGCCTAGCCCGCAGCCTAGCTCCCGTTGCTGCAGTTATCTCCGCATCCTTCGCCTAGGCTTCTAAGCCTAAGCCAAAGTTAAACCCGGTTACCAGCTAAGATCGTCTCGTAACACCTTGGGAGCCAGCTTCCCGCCGCGTTGCTTCTCGGGGACCATGAACTGCGCCATGCAGCCCCGCACCCGCGCTAGCATGAGATTGGGCTTCTTGCCGGTCAGCAGCTGGTACGGTGTCCACGCAGTTTTGCACCCAAACGGCTTGCCGCAGGGTCAGGTGCCACCAGTGGTGCTGCACACCCATGTGCAGCAGCATCGTCCGCACGGACTCGACGACCGTGCGCATCTCCCACTCAACCATGCCGTTCTACTGCGGAGTGTACGGGCAGGTCAGGTCGCGGACGTTGCCCTTCCCGTCGACGAAGTTGGTGAACTCCTTCTCGGGGAACTCCCCTCCGCGGTCGGAGCGGAGCATCAACACCGTTTTTTTTTCGTCTGTCACTTTACCAGCAGCAGCCATTTCTTGAACACTCGTAGAACGGCCCTCTACTTAGCGACCGGCTTCACCCACACGAATCGAGCGTGGCTGTCCTTCAGCAGGAAGAAGTACAAGCTGCCATCATTAGCAGCAACCCGGAATGGCCCGCACAAGTCAAAGTGCACAACAGCCAGCGCTTCCTCGGCGTCCAAGCCCTTGTCGGGGAAGGTGTGTCGCGCCAGCTTCCCTCCGACGCACGAGACACACGTAGCAGGTCTGGTCTGGTCGACGGCTGGATGTCGAGTCCGGTGGCAACGTCGTGCTTCGCCGAGCTCTTGGTCGTGTCAACGCCGACGTGCGCGAGCCTCGCTTGCCACCTGTCCCGCATCGACTTCGTCGCCGATGCGATCGTTCGCAGAGCCACCACCTTGGTCGATGGCGACCGCATCGAGCAGGGGCGAAGGTCGGTGCAGAGGACGCAGTGTAGCGTGCTCGACCGAGTATCTTCCCTACACTCGACACAAGCTGCACCTCGTCGCCGACGTCCTGCAACTTCACACCGCTCATCTGCAGCTGACCGGCTGACAGCAGGTTCGCCTGCAAACCCGGAACGTAGAGCACGTCAGGGATGAGGACCTACTTCCCGGCCTCCCTTTGCAGAGCGACAGTGCCGCGGCCCTCGATGGTCTGCAAAGCCTTATTGAAGCCACGCACATGCTTCACGTCGCTACTCGGCGCCACGTCGACGAAGACCTCCTTCGTCCCCATCAGGTGGTGTGAGCAACCACTGCCGAGCAGCACCACCATCAGATTTGGCACGGCGGCCGCGACCGCCTTGAAGTCCTCGCCAGCCTCCGGCGCCAGCGAGACCGTCGGCTACACCCCGCTGACCATCGAGCACGACGCTTCCCCGTCGCCTCGGCCCTTGACGCTGAAGGAGTCGACATCCTTTGTCGACTACGCCTTCTTGGACGTCTGCTTCTCCTTGCGCGGCTTCTCGTCTCGACGGGGACGGCGACTGGCGGACTGTCCACTGCCTCCCTTGTTGTCGTCCTCGTCGCTGTTGTCGCGGTCGGGGTACTCGAAGGAGAGGTGGTCGGGGTCGATGCAGATCCAGCACTTTCTCCGTCGACCACCACCTGCACGACCCTTGTCACGCGTGGAATTTGCCTGATCAACGTCCGTCGTCGACCTCCCACCTCCGCTACTTCTTCAGCCCTGCTTCCCACGCTATCTCTGCTGTCGACTCTACTTCATCGGAGCGTCTTAGTTCACCTGCGGAAGGAGCTCCGTGAGACGCTCTGCCTCCTGCATCGCCTCATCTCTGATGATGAAGCTGGTGAGGGAGTCCTCGTCGAGCGACTCACGCGTGCCGGGCACCACCATCATCCGGCGCATGAGGTTGTGCCTTTGACAACATGCGTAATGTAGGACGCCGTCGAGTAGTCGACGCCCGCCATCCGCATTTTGGCCAGGATTCGTCGAGCATGGTTGTAATAGTCCGTCGCCGACTCCTTTTCGCCCATCCTGAAGTGAGAAATTCGCTCCTCCAGCTGACCCATGTACAGGTCGTCCGACGCCGACAGGATGAACCGCCACGCTTAGTGACCCACGTCCAATCATTGTCGACACGACTTCAGTGCTATCTGCACCACCGGCAAGCAGCACCTCGAGATAACTGTCGAGGTCAGCGTAATTCCGCTAGCAACTCGACATCGTTTGTGTCCGGCGTTGGCACGTTGCCGTCGGCGAATCCCATCAGCCCGGCGATCTCTAGTTGAGGCTCAATCGCCTCCCTCCACGTGATGAGGTCCCGTCGACATTGCAGTCGTGTGACGGTGATTTTGTCCGGCGAGAAGTACCCATACGCCACCGCGATCCCGCCCACCATTACGTCCGTTGTCGACGTGGGCCTCCCACTGCTTCGTTGGGGAGAGCGACGTCGACCGTCGACGTCGACACGCGAGCTGCCTGCAGCCGCCGTCGACCACTGGACTCGCCCCTGGCTCCTGTCGATACCACCGTCGACCTTGATCACACCTCTCTTCTTCGTGCCCTCGATGCCGCCGACTTGAACACCGTCGACGACCTCCTCGTCGACGGCCCCTTCGTTGCGTGCCGGTCGAGGCGATGCAAATCAGGAAGGGTGATCCATCGCCCACTACGCACGGATGCCCAGCTGAACCACCTCCAACGGGAGGGTCGACCCGAACTCGCCAGCTTCGCGGCGTCTCCTCGTTTCATCCAACTGTGCCTCCAACGTATTTGCTACAGTGCCGCCCACTCCCGGACCAGGCGTCATGGTCTACACGGGATACCGGTCTACGAATGACTACTAGTCTGAAGGTTCCTTGCGGGGTCGTCCACGCTCACCGCACCATGCAGAGATTCACTCTACAACAGTCGTGAGCTAGACTACAGGGGGGTTGGCACGAGCTTCTAGGAGTGATCGTAGCTTGCTTAGCATTCTCTAGCACTTGTGCAGTTACAGAGCAATTCGGGAAGAGTTTCACTAGGGAGAGTTGCATTGTAGAATGATTGAATACGCAATGGCAAGAAATGACTACATCAGAGCCTAGCAACCTAGCAGGGCAGCTGGTCGACCGCTAGCACAGCATGGTCGACCGCCTGCCAGCGTTGCGTAGAGGAGCCGCGTCAGCGCTGCAGAAACGCAGCCTGCCAACAAAGTAGGTCGACGGGGTGCCAACGCTGGAGCAAGGCGGCTGTTCGGCGTTGCACCCGCAGATGACAGCAGCGCGCTCGCCCGCTGATGCGCGCAGACGATTGGCCCGACATACACCGTCACGCATCTCTCGGCTGCTGTCTGCGCTTGACGAGCCACAATCGATTTCGGGATACCAGCCTGAAGTCGACTTCGCCATCGTGGCCTCGACATCGTTCGCGTGCCTTTGCAGAACCTCACCGAGGTAACTTGGTCGAACGGGTCGACCACCCGGTGGCCTAGTCAACGACCTCCCTTGTCGACCACTACTCCGTCGAAGACCACCCTGGTCGACGGGCCCTTCCGTCGACCAACACAATCTGCTGCTGCCCGTCGAGCTCCTATCCTCAATGACTCCATTTTAGGCCTGCGCAGGTCGATAGACTGCTTTGTCGACCTGCCCTGTCGAACTAGGCTTCCCTTCGTCGACAGCATCTCTGCGGTTCCCTGCAGGTCGACCAACTTCGTCGACCTGCACGCGTCGAACTCTGCGGATGGTCGGCTGCACCTCCCGCGCACCCAACTACTACGTCGGCTTCGCCCAAGCGAGTGCTTGGCCAACACTCCATTCCGTCAACATGTTGGATACCTTCAGGACCGCCACGCCGACGTTTAGTTTCCTCCGTGGGTGTGACGGGACCTGCTTCAATGGTGACACCTACGCTCCACCGGCCTTGTTTCGCCGAGGTCCAGGCAACTTCGGCCTCTTCACACTGCACACTTTGTCTCCCCATGTAGATGCGTTTGGTCAGGTAGCTGTGTCCGGTCAGGTTGCTACGTCATGCTCCTGTCGGTCACTCACCCAACCGACAGTCCTATGGTACCACCGTCTTGGTCACCGGTCCCTCTCTTGCCTCCACAGGCTAGCCAACATCTTGTCTCAGGTCCCCGCGTGTTTGTGCGTCGCTCCCCCCTTCGCCTGCGCCGCCGTGCAATCCTTGCGTCGAGGGTCGGCTGCACGCCACTCCTCGCTCCTCCTCCCTTCATGCGGCCATCGCACCCTTCTAGGGTCTCCACTTGGACGTCTGGGCCCTACCCCTCGCCCTGGGCCCGAGAGGGAGAGCTTCTTTCTGGTGGTTGTTGACGATTACTCCCGCTACACCACCGTGTTCCCGCTGGCGAAGAAGTTCGACATGACTTCTACACTGATCCGGAGGTTGCTGACCACTAAGACCACTCGTGACCGTTGTGCCAGTTGTCTTCACTCCAATTGTGGGGGTGAGTTTCGCTCCGGCATTCTTCGCGGTTTCTGTAGCGAGCAGGGCATCACGCAGTCCTAGACGCTTCCAGAGTCCCAAAAAATGAATGGGGTTGCTGAGCGCCGCATATGCTTGGTCACGGAGATCGCCCGCACCTCTATGATCCATGCCCGTGCGCCCCATTTTCTGTGGCCCTACGCGGTTCGCCACGACGCCACCAGCTGAACCTCTGGCCTCGTGTTTCACGGCCAGAGGCTTCACCGACCAGTCTTTGGACCGGGTCCCCTGGTATTGTGTCAGAGTTTCGTGTCTGGGGCTGCCTTGCGCTTGTCTGCGACACCTCTGCGGGCAAGCTCTTGGCTCGCACTCTCCCCTGTATCTTCCTTGGTTTCCTGGTGGGCTCATCTGATGACACGTTTTTCCACCCGCCCCACCACCTATTCCTTGACTCTTGTGACATCACAATTGATGATTCCGTGTCTACTACGCCTGGTACCCTTGTCGAAATCTCCTGGTTCCCCCCCCTCCCCTTCTCCTTGCCCCCACTCCTCCTTCTACTCCCTCTCCTCCGGTACACCCCCCCCCCCCCCCCCCCCCCCCTGGTCCTGCCCCGTCAGGTGTGTCCCACGCTACCATCTCCCCTCGGTCGAGCGTCAGGTGCCGCCTCCTTCCCCACAATCGTCCTCGTCGTCACTGCAGCAACTATCGGCACTACCGCGTCAGGTTGCAGTGGACTCTGGGGGTGTTGGAGTTAGAGGCACGAGTGCTGGAGGTGCTAATTCTGAGGGTGTTGGAGCAGAGGGTGCTGGCACATGTGGTGCTAGTTCAGGGGGTGCTGGAGGTAAGGGTACTATCCCTGGGGGTGCTAGTTCGGGTACCTGAGCTGAGAGTACTAGCAATGGAGGTGCTAGTTTTGGGGGTGCTAGAGCCGAGGGTGCTGTCCTTGGGGGAGCTAGTTCTTAGAGGTCTGGAGTTGAGGTTACTGACCCTGGGGGTGCTAGTTATGGGGGCGCTAGAGCTGCGGGCACTGGCATTGGAGGTGCAAGTCCTGGGGGTGCTAGATTTGGTGGTACTGGCGTTGGTGGTGCTAGTTGTGAGGGAGTTGGAGCTCAGAGCACTACTAGATCATCGCCTCCTCCACCTCCCCACCGTAACGACACGCATTTCCAGGCTACTTCTCGCCGTGTGCACGAGGAGTAGGGGATGTTGGTGCAAGAGACTCTGGAGCTTGAGCAGGAGCAACAGGAGTTGCAACTGCATGAGCTGCTACAGCAGCAGTAGCACTCGCAGGAGCCTCAGCAAGCACTTTCCCCACTTGTGAGTGATCTTTTGTCCCTTGGTTTCTCTTCCTCCTCTTCGGACCACTCACCTCCTCCTCCTGCTCGCAGTCTTCCTCCTTCGGACTCGTCCCCTGCTGTTGTCACTCCTCCTCATTCCCCTCCCGCTCCTCCTGTTGTCCCGCATTCTCGCGTCCACCCCTGACCCCCGCGTGCTTGTTCCTCGTCTCCTGTGGACAACCTTCGCACTGTCCTCATTTGTTCTCGTTAACGACGTCCTCTGCCTGCGTCTGTTCTCCTGTCTCCTCCTGAGTCGTCTCTTTCTGTCACCACTACCCCCATCACTGACTGCTACCGTGCGTCTAGTCCTGTTGTTACACGTGTTCTCGCCTCTCTTGTCACAGACCCTCGTGCCTCTCCACCGTCTGTCTCGGCTCTTGTTGCCGCTGTTGGTGACTTCGCCACCACTCACCCGCGCGGTGGCTGCCCGTCCTTTGTCCGTCGGGGGTGAGTCTGCCGTTGGCTGTGACGTCCTAGAGGACAGGCAGTACGAGCTGGAGTTCTTGGCAGGCGCTTCTCCCCATCTCCATGCCATGCTGCTAGCCCATGAGGGAGACTTCGACGCCCTTGACATACCGACTCCTCGCACGTATCGTGAAGCAGTGTCAGGGCATTGGTCCTCTCAGTGGATAGCAACCATGGAGTCAGAGATGGCGTATTGGAGATCCACAGGCACTTACGTCAATGCCTTTCCCCAGCCTGGCATGAACGTAGTCGATGACACGTGGATCTTCAAGGTGAAGAGTCCGCCCGGATCTCCGCCTGTCTTCAAGGCGCGCTACGTGGCTAAAGGTTTCAGTCAGCGTGAGGGAGTTGACTTCTTCCAGACCTTCGCACTGACCCCGAAGATGACTACTTCTCTGGTGTTACTTCACGTTGGGGCACAGAGAGACTACGAGCTGCACTCCCTCGACTTCTACACTGCCTTTCTCCTGGGCCATCTACACAAGGAGATATGGCTGCGCCGTCCTCCTGGCTTCACTGGCACTTTCCTGCTTGGGACCCAGTGGAGCTTGAGACGACCAGTCTACCACACAGCCCTCTCCTCTTGCCGTCGACAACGGACCCACCGGCCCATTTCCTGGTGAGCCCCTTGAGTCTAGTGGTCCCAACGCAGAGCTTGTGGGT